AACAACAACAACAACAACAAACTAATAATTATCTTTCAGCTTTATCCCTCAGCACATCCCACCCTTTTGATATTGTATAGTTTGTTGTGGTTTCTTGGTGGGGGGTGTTGCTTTTGGTGTTTGTTTTGTGTTTTGTTTCTTTACATTCCAGTTTCATAGGTCACAAATCCAATGTGATTCTCCCGGGTCTAAAATCAAAGCCTTGACCTGTGTTCTCCAGAGCCTCTAAGGGACAGTCTGTCCCCTAGCCGTTTCCAGTTTTCAGAAGCTGCCCACATTCCTTGGCTCATAATCTCCTTTTCTTCACATTCAAAGGCAGCTACACCCAGTAATCACCCTCCGCTGGAGTTTCTCCTGCCTCTTTCCTCATCATGTCTGCATCTCTCTGATCAAGCCTTCTCTCTCCCTTCCACTTTTAAGAGCCCTTGTAATTACATTGATCCACCCAGATAATCCAGGATAATCTCTCTATTTTAAGGTCCATTTATTAGCTACCTTAATTCTGTCTGCAACTTTAATATCCCTTTGCCATGTAACATAACATAGTTATTTTGTAGGGGCATTATCCTGCTCCCCACCCTTATACTTTTCCACAACAAAATGAATGATGTGGTGTCAAACACCGGTAGTGCTGAGGTTGGGAAACCCTGTCCTGCAGAACACTTCCTTTATATGGACTCACTTGAAGTGTCACCCTCCCAGCACTTTAAATAACTTGGACAATTTGCATTAAAAGCCGCTGCTAGTTATGATCACTCGTCCATTTCTGGCTGAATATGATGATGACTTGGTCTGCCTGGCGAGGAAGTGAAAATGCCTTCTATTAAATAAGTGAAGCAGGAGCTTCTGGTAACAAACATATGAAACAGAATATTCATCTTTTCTTCAATGGGAATAACGCATGACAAAAGTGAGGCTTTCTTCACATTGTTTATAGAAAATTCATTTCCACGGAGGCCTTATGTTAAATTTGCTCTCTGATGTTAGCAGTTCCTGGATGCGTAGTGCCACTGGAGTATGTTCTTATGATCTTACCATTTATTTACCTTGATACGAAACTCCAATTACTGTCAGAGACGCTTCTTGTTAAATATGGTAAGATCTCCAGCTTCTGAGAGTGTGAATATGTATTTGATTCTCTGGGGCTAGACTCAGATGGAAGTTAAGGGAAGATAGTGCTGGGGACGTGGGTGCAAATTAATTAAATATCTGAAGATAACAACGGAGGACGTTTGGGCTTTAGAGAGAAGAACTGGAATTTGGGGAGAGAGGGTTGTGTAGCAAGAGATTGCACATGGGTTTTTCTCCAGCTGAAGCCTCTTCTCTTGGCTTCCTGTGGTTTGCAGCTGGGAGAGAGAGAGAGAGAGAGAGAGAGAGAGTGTGTGTGTGTGTGTGTGTGTGTGTGTGTGTGTGTGCGCGCGCGCGCGTGCGCGCACACGCGCACCTACTGTTACTGTGAACATTACTGTGCTTTTCCATTAAATTTCAACACCTAAAGCAGATCCTTTGATTATCTGAAATCAGGAATCAGACTATAACATATAACTTCCAGCAACACTGGGGAGCCTGCTCTCCAGATAAAAATCTTAGCATTCTTCTGATGTATGCAGACTGTCATATTTCGTTACTGGCTTTCTTTGGGTAATCTAACTCTATTTTATTCATCGGCCATTCTAAAAATACAATCAAAGGACACCTACTGGCTACAAGCGACTTTGCCCATGTCTAATGGGGCTGTGAAGAATGGTTTGAATTTAGTGCAGATGGGGAAAAGCATGTGCTGTCACCGAGAGTCTATCACACTTCCAGTTTGTAAAGTATCTTGACTGGAGCCTGGCCAGAGCAAAGAGGAGAAGGAAACGCTAGTGTGAATGAGTGGACTGGGTCAGATAAAGTGAGACAGAAACTGACCTTCAGTAGTCTGCAAATTGAACAGAATAGGGTGCTGTTATTTTTGGCTCAATAAGCAGAAAGATATTTTGCTTGTTTCTTCTTCCGGTTTTTGAATTGCACTTAGCCTTCAATTTAGGGATATTCTCTCTCTCTCCTCTCTTCTGTCTCCTCTCTCCTCTCTCTCTCTCCCCTCCTCCTCTCCCCCTCTCCCTCCTCTCTTCCCTCCCCTCCCCCTCCCCTCTCCCTCCTCCTCTCCCTCTCCGAGGTTTTCCTGGTTGGAACCTACTGGTGGAGGTGGTAGTGTGGAGGTGATGGTGGTGATGTGGTAAAGGTGAAGAGAATGATGGTGGTGTGTGCATGTATAGGGGGTGGGCCCCCTCTGCAGTCTTGGTCCTACCCAGCAGTGCCCAGCCAGAACACCTGGGAAGGTGGTATTTATCATTGGCATCTGCTTGGGGAAATCCTGCTGCTGGTCCTTGGGCTGTACCCCAGGCCTCTGGAGTCTTGAACACCCTGCCGCACAGGTGGGCTGGCCAG